AGAAAATAACTTTACAGAAAAAAAAAACATTAACCCTTTTCTTCGAGAATCGCATCTTTCTTGCAAAAAAAAAAAAGGTTTTAAGATATATTTAATTTTTATCAGTACATAAACTTTGTAAAGCGGCTCTTGGGACGGCTCTGAGTTATTTTTTAATAAAAAAAACATTTAGCTCACAACTCCCTCTCTTGACCGATTTCAGATCTAATTACAGTCGCGGCTATTGAGAATTCCCTCTTGCTTATTTTTTTGTTTTGTTTTGTTTTTTTTGCAAACACAAAACTTTGTCTTAATACACGTATTATTTTGTTTAGAACATTGAACTATTAGATTATAGGGGTGGTAGGTTTACATGGAGATGTTATCAGTAAAACAAACTGAAATTTTTAAACTTAGTCACCTGTCCACGATATTTTTCTATGTATAGTTTTAAAAATCAATTAATATTTCGATTAACTGAGCTTTAAAAACTGCGCAAAGCCCCACCCCCCACAAGAATAACTAATTAAGCTTAATTAATCTTGCTGGGGCTTCATAAAGTATATATTTCTTACTCGGGGTTAGCTTGGCACATTAAAAGCGGAGTGCTTGAGAAAAAAGAACAGTTGATAACTTTTTATAAGACTTATTAATTACTTCTATACAGAGAAGGAGACAATGCGATAAGCAGCTATTTAGCCCCCTAGCGACAAAGTATAGTAAAGATAGCTCATTGTGTTTAACAACAAACGAACAAAAAAATGATTATTTATAGATGTTTTTCGGAATGCGTATTAATTAAATAACTAACTGTGGAGTTGCACGTTAAGCCTAACAAGATTTAATTTGGATCAATATCTTCATACAACTGTTAAACCTCAAAAAAGGCCTGGCATGGCCTGGTGGTTACGAGCCGTCGGTTTGAATCCCGTCACCGAGCATTCTCCCTTTCAGCCGTGGGCGCGTTATAAGGTGACCGTTGGTGGGGTTAACTAGGATCCTTCCCTCTAGTCTATCGTTGCTAAATTTAAATTTTAATTGTGCGTGTGTTTACTGTTTAATAGACCAACATCTTGTAAATCTTCATTATAAACACAGCTAACTTCCTGTTGATGTGCCAGAAATTTATATTTTGATAACATAAACCAAAAGGTCGAATATGTATATATATACATATATACACAACATTCGACTTTCCACCGTCTATATATATACAACATTCGACTTTCCACCGTATATATATATATATATATACAACATTCGTACTTTCCACCGTATATATATATATATATATA